AGTGCATATAGATATATAAATTACACAAACAATTTTTAATCAATTTAAATAGAAGAAAATTAGATTTTCTCCTGTTTAATGAGAACATCATTTGATTTCTTAATGGGAGCAGGCTTGTAGGCTTGTAGAAGGTTCTGGTACATGAAATGTCTTCTTTAATAAAACTAAGCCTAAATAGAATATATAATTTGAGTATAAATCATAACCACAGTAGGTCCAAACTGTGAGTGACTAATGGCAAGAAACATGAATACTCTATACACCTGCTTCCTGTAGAATGTTATACACTGCATAGTTCTTTGCTTCTTAAGACTATACACAATGGTGTCCCCAACCATTGTATTAAATTATTAAATACATGTCGAACATATATTCTACTTTGCTTCTTAATTTATTTTTTTCACTGATTGCTTACTCAACTTTCTATGTCTGTAAATCCTTAGGAATGTCTTCCAATGCTTCAGAGTTCTTTTCATCACATTCAGATATCTATTGTATAGTCATCCCTCTGCAATTCTCCAAACTCAAATGGAGGACAATCATTTCCCTGTAAAAAAAGAACTTAGTAAAAGTAGAAATATTGAAACCATTAAAGAAACAAAAGAATATAGTAAAAAGAAAATTAACTTGAGATACTTTACCTTTAATTCATATGCTAAAATACCAAGGTCTTTTAGGAATGTTTGCATGAACATAGGTGCACTATAAAGAAATAAAAAATTATTTTCTTAACACAGTTAATTATTTGCAGGTATAGTATAATAAAAATTACCTCAATGTCGTGGAAGACACATTCTTGAATCTTTATCAAATCTGTGTTTAGATCTTCAGGTACAATATATGTTCGTACCAATCTTCTGGACATAGGTTTTTTCCTAAGATGTAGAGGGGAGCCATTTTCAGCGTTGATTGCAAATAACGGCTGGAAACAAGCAGGGGTTAAATGAAGATGTGTGGATTGTTAGTATGCTGAATTTATAGAACAACTTTGAAGGCTGAAGAGTTCGAAATGTAGTTGGATTGAAGGCTGAAGAGTTCCAAAAAAACTCTGCCATTATTGAAGAGCAATAATAGCTGTGCACCGGAAACCGAAACGCCACAAAGTAGAAAGCTGCTTTTGAATTGATTTGAATCAATCTGAATTTATTTTTTTAATTTTCATTTTATCATTTTTGTTTTATCATAAGATCAGATCACATGTGTATTCCAAAAGTGTATGAATATGAATTATTAATGCATCAAACCTCTACAATGCTATTTATTTGGAACAATTTCCCATAACTTGGGGAAACCAAAACGGTGGCTTAGCATAAAGTTAGCATTTAATACTTATACAAATACAATTACTTTTTTTTTTTGAATGCTACTAGCTCTATTACATTGTAGTACAAATACAATTACTTAAAATGTAATTGTAATTAAATGTCTGTGATCGAAATTTCTTTACCTTCAAAACGACGTCACTTTTTATGGGCGGGAAAATGCAGTAATTTAATTGGCCATGGCTATATGGCTTTAATATATAGAAGGATATATAGAAGGATTTGTAGCTTAAAATAAGAAGCTCTAAAAGCATCCCCATTAAGAAAATTGTTCTTGATTTTTTTTTCTGGTCCATTTGTCACATGGAAGAAAGAGAGGAAGGAGAGAGAGGGAGTCGGGTGCTCCTGCAAGAATCCAAGTTTGTTTTTGCTTCAGCTTTGTTTTTTTTTTATTATTTTTTTATTTTTTAGTTTTTTTGTTTTTAGTTTGTTTTTTTTTTTTTGTTTTTTTGTTTTTGTTTTTTTTGTTGTTGTTTTTTCCTTTTCTCACATTTTTCTCTCTCATATCTCCTCTCTACTATTTGGCACTTACAAATTTGTGTTAAAAATTTGTCTATTGAGAATGCCCTAAAATAAATTCTACCAAACATTGGCTTTTGATATTTGAGGGAGTAAGTTAGATCAAGATAACTAAAAAATTAAAGGAAATGAGATAGTGAATTAGTTATATTTGACAATATTGCTTTGAGAGTACAACAATAAGCATGTGAATATATATAATATTCTTCTAAAAGGCTGAACCCCAACCCTAAGGTCCCCCCACACCCCGATCCGACAGAGTATTTGGAGAATATAAATCATGGTAACTCAACTGAACATGAACCACAGAGGCTAGACCTGTACTCACTGCGCACAAGGAACCTCCCTCACTTTGAGGGGTTGCTCCCACACTGCCGCGGGTGAGACTCGATCCTGGTCATTCTTCCAAAGTTTCACCTCTGTGAATATATATAATCTTTTTGTCATTTATAGAATAGCTTGAATGATATGGAGAAGATGAAAAATTATCGCACATCCAATTGCTTGAAAAATATTCTTTTTGTCCAACTAGATTTTAAAATTAGGAATTTTTATTCTCTTTTCTATTTCTTTTTGGGATAAGAGTCAAATAAGCCCTCCAATTATATATCAAAATGTAATTAGACCTTCAAATTAAAAAAAAAGTTTCAATTAGACCCTTAAATTAATTAAAACTGTGCAATTAATATATTTAACAGATTACCAAGCAGTTAATTTTGATTGTATGGCATCTATCCATTCAAAAATAAAAATAAACTAAAAATAAAAAGAATAAAACTAATTAAGAAGCCGGCAAACTTCTCTGAAAGTTTAACGGAGAAGCCAATGGAAATCTGGACGGAGAAGACAGCGAAGTGTTTCTAATTATCTGACTTCTCTCTAGAGTGCCAAGCTAAACATGAGTTCGTTTTTTTCCTCCAGTGAACAACGATTTTCGTTGGACTGCTACTGGAAACCGATTTATGCACTTCTTTTGTTTAATCTTTTAAAATAAAGATTACCAGTTGTGCTTTCGAATTAAAAATGGATTTCAAATGGATTCGTGGCAGTGTATTTGTGGTATTTGATGGCACTCATTTTTCCATTAAAATATTCAAATGCATTGGTGATGGTTTTTGGAGAAGAAAAAGAACTGGGTTCTCTGATGACTTTAGCTCCGGCGGCCACATGCTTCCAGGTCACGGCACGGCGGTTCTTCCACCTTTTTCGAATTCCGGCGTGCTCCAGTTTGGGGTGATTGGACCAGGCGGATGGAAGAGACCACTCGCTTATTGCTTTGGTGTCCATGTTTCACGGTTTTGCTGGCTTCTCCATCCGTTTCGGACGATCGATCTGACGGAGAAGCCGACAGGCTGGTTTCTCCGTCCAGTTCGACTGGACGGAGAAACCATGGCAGTTTTTTTTTTTTTTTTTTTTTAAATTTTTAATATAATTATTTTGATTTATTATTTTAATAATTTTTTAAAATATTAATTTATATGGCATGTGACTTGAATGTAACTTGTTATTATAGGTCAAATTAGTTAATTGCACATTTTTAACAAGTGTAAGAGTTTAATTGAATGTTTTTTTTAGTTCAATGCATGGTCTAATTGCATTTTACTATATAGTTGGAGGGTCTATTTGACCCTTATCCCTTTCTTTTTATATATATCACAAATCCCAACAGGATTCATTTTCATTAAGAACCCATGACCCTTCCGTTTGTATGGGGAAAATTATTGTATGGTTCATGTAGTACAGTCTGAATTATAATAAAAATTATATTTTTAATATATTAAAAGTATATTACGCCGTATTTGATAGTATAGTCCACGCGATAATGATTGTTCATATTCGTGGGTAGCCTAGCTATCATTTAGTTATTATTTTCGCTTAAGAGTTCATCTAATTATTATTTTCACTTAAAAGTTCTCTTGCACTTACAGTACGTGATCATAATTTACATAATATAATTTGTTTTTCCTAATTTTTTATTTAGCATACCAAATTAAATAACACAACAAAACATTCAATAACATAACTTTATTATATAACATTAAAAGATAAAATTATAAAATTTGGACTTCAAATTATCAAGATAGAGCTTAACTCCATGCTTGAAAATAAATAAATTCAAAATCTTTTCATTCGAAAAAAGTTGCAATCTCATCCTCCACATACACAACACTTTTCATATATAATGAGAGAGAAAGTGAGTAATTTTCAACTCCATGTATCTCAAACCTTCTCCAAACATCTCTACTAAATGAATAAACTAAAACCAAAGGAGACATTATCCTCTCCCTTTCAATCAAGAACACAATCTCCCCCCATACTATTTGTACTACACCTCATGAGAGTAGCTTCTCCAATCACCTCCCTCTCCTCCAATAATGGCAAACCCACCGTTTGTTTCTTCCACTCCATTGACCTCTCCAACGTCCATATATTTATCTTGTCAGGCAAGAATGTGGGGCCTCAGATTTGGCCTTTTGTGGGACAAGAATGTTAATGAAAGCTAGGCAACCATTCAGCTTCATCCATGGCAGCCATCCCTCCCAATGCTGCGAGGACCGGCACTCAGATGGGAATGGTATGAACGAGATAAAACTCTCCGTAACAACATCCATTGCAACTATTTTTGGTTTGGTAGTCCTCAGTCGAGTCCAGATCCCTGTCATTGATTCAGTAATAATAGGAATCAAATAGATAATCCCATTAATGTGGACGGCAGCCTGGGTATATCCCTTGATGGTGGAGGAGTCTATCTCCCTCCATGACTTATCCACTCCGACAGTTAAAACCCGCAGCCGATTCAACAACCGCCGGCCACCATAGTACACCTCTGAGTAGAAAACCTTGTACCGTTCCGAAACCGAGTCAAACCCCAAGACCGCACTCCCGGTCGGCCTACCATTGCTTGGCAGACAAATACACCGTCCGGTACTAAGGTCGAAGATGGCATTATTGGAAAAGACTAATACGCCCTCAGTAGAATTAAAGAAGTAAGGGTAGTATTGTAATTGGCTATGTCCAAATCTGTTATAACGGTATTTGGCGCCTCTCCTCTTGTATATATGGCCTTCTTCTTCTCCGTAACAGATTGAATAACAAATTGTTTTCTTTCCATATACATGTAATCTTCCTTTCGTTCTGAACTTCTCCGCCGAGCTCATCATGGTATCAGAGCACCGGCGATCAAGCTATGCCGCCGCAGTCATCGGTGAATCCAGCCACGGAGTTTCGGTTGCACCTCCGATTCCACCTCAGGTTCCAGTTCCGCAGAGGAACGACGTTGCGGAGGATATGGAAAACCCGCTTTATCTGAGCGTTAACGAGAACCCTAATGCGGTTCTCGTCACGCCTCTTCTCTCTGGCAGCAGTAACTATGCCTCGTGGAGCATCTCAATGCGCGTAGCCCTTGAAGTCAAGAACAAATGGGGATTAGTTGATGGAAGTGTTCCGGCGCCGGAGAGGACTCACGCTCAATACAGATCCTGGAGGAGATGCAACTTGATCACATCCTCCTGGATTCTTCGCTCTGTCCACACTACAATAGCACAGAGTGTCATGTATATGGACGAAGCGAAGGAGATTTGGGATGACCTCAAACGGAGGTTCTCACAGCGAGATGCGAATCGGATTTCGTTTTTACAGAGCGAGATTTCTGGCCTGAAGCAAGGAGGTTTGTCGGTCAACGACTATTACACTAAATGCCGCACGCTTTGGGAGGAGATGAATGCTCTTAGGCCCCTCCCAATCTGCAAGTGTATACCAAGGTGCTCCTGTGATCTAGTGGATCAGATTCGAAAGGATCGAGAAATCGATCAAGTCATCAGGTTTCTACAAGGATTGGACGAAGAGTACAATTCCTTGAAATCGGGAGTTCTCATGCTCGATCCACTCCCAGAGATGCACAAAGTTCTCGTGATGTCTGAGAAATTCGAGAGACAACTTAATCTCACTAATCTAAACAGCCTGGGAAGGGATATGACTCAAGCTAACGTTGTACAGATTGACCAAGGCAGTTCTGATGAGACAACTGCTGCTGCCTTCAACTTCTCGAATGGTAAGAAATTCGCAAACTCAGGAGGAACCAAGGCTAAATGTAGTTTTTGTGGAATGAACGGGCATACCATCAAGAAGTGCTACAAGAAGCACGGGTACCCTCCCGGTTGGGTACAAGGTTATAAATCTAAGGGAAAACAGTATGCTGCCAATGCAGTAGCTACTCAGACTGATCAGACTTTCACTCCTCAACAAGTTCAAGGTCTGATCTCCCTTCTAGATCGAATGGGGCAGAATCAACAATCTACCAATGCTGCTGTGTCCTTAGTCCCAAGGTTCAATAAAACCAACAACACCGGTGATGAAGGCAAGTACTCTCGTACAAAAATTAATTCTGCTTATTTGACCTTTTCTACTTGGATTGTTGATTCGGGAGCTACTGACCACATCATATGTTCTCTTGATTTGTTTGATGAATTTTATACTGTGAATGGTGCCATGGTTAATCTACCCAATGGGGACTGTGTTGCTGTTAGACATATGGGGAATATAAAATTGAATGACAGTTTATGGCTAAAGGATGCCTTACATATTCCTTCGTTCAGATTCAATATTATATCTGTAAAAAGGCTCCTGAAAAACTCATCTTATTCTTTAATGTTTACACATGATCAGTGCCTTCTAGTGGATCATGGGAGGATGATTGGCTTTGCTAGAGAAGACAAGGGGCTATACTTGCTAAATAATCCTCCAGTTACCTCTGTTGAATCTCATATTTGTATTCCTGCTTCGATACATTGTAATAACGTTGAGCTATGGCATTAACGATTGGGACATTTCCCTTTGAATAAACTACATTTACTTTCTATTGATATTCCTTCTTCCATCCCTAAAAATATGGTCTGTGATGTGTGTCATTTAGCCAAGCACAGGAGGTCTCCGTTCCCTTTGAGCACCACTGTATCAACTGCTTGTTTCGACCTTGTCCACATGGACATTTGGGGCCCCTTTCACATCAAAACTATGAAAGGGGAGAGGTATTTTCTCACAATTGTTGATGACTGTTCACGTTTCACCTGGTTGAGACTCATGAGAAACAAATCAGAAACAAGAACTATGATCAAAGAGTTCTACAAGATGGTTCAAACTCAGTTTGGAGTTTCTATCAAAACCATTAGGAGCGACAATGGCCTAGAATTTAATATGCAGGAAACGTTTGGTAAACATGGCACGCTTCATCAGAAATCATGTGCTAACACCCCTCAACAGAATGCTATAGTTGAGTGGAAACATCAACATGTTCTAGCTGTTGCACGAGCTCTGAAATTCCAAGCAGGCCTTCCCCTTGAATTCTGGGGACAATGTGTTGTTCATGCAGTATATGTCATAAACAGGTTGCCTTCCGGAGTCATTGGTTGGTCAAGCCCATATCATAAACTATATGGTAAGGAGCCTGATCTTGCTCTCCTAAAAGTATTCGGTTGTCTATGTTATGCTGCAACCTTGTCCACTTCTAGACACAAGTTGGCACCAAGAAGTCGAAGGTGTGTGTTTGTTGGTATTCCTGCAGGTGTGAAAGGATACTTAATGTATGATCTCATCGACAACACCACTTTTGTTTCTCGTGATGTAGTCTTTTATGAAGACCAGTTCCCCATGGCTTCTTCAAATGCTCACTCTCAGGAGATGGTACCTTCTCTGCCAAATATTCTAGTCACAACATATGAAGAGATCATTCCTCATGATACTCAAGACAATCAACATTGTGATGTGGTACCACCTGAACCCTCACAACTGGAGAACATAATTAATGAGGCCATTCATCAGACAACTCGGCAACCTCAGGCAGACTTCTTGGCCAAATCACAAGATGCGAATAATGGCAGGGAATCTTCTCACAATTCTGCTTACAATGATCAGTCCAATCTGGACAATTCCGTGGATCAGGCAACCTCAGGCAGACTTCTGGACAATTCTGTGGATAACAGTGATAAGAATATGATTGGCTCCTTCCCCAGACAATCTCGTCGTTCCAGCAGACAAAGGCAGCCACCTAGCCGTTTACAGGACTATTACTGTGACAATATTATCCAGCAGAGAAGCTCTCCTCACACATTATCTAAGGTGATGACATGTGAATACCTTGGCCCTAGTCACAAGATATTTTCCTTGGCAGTCACCTCAACTGATGAACCAAGGACATATAAACAGGCTGCTCGTCACACATGCTGGAAAGATGCCATGGCCGCAGAGATAAAAGCTCTCCAAGACAATCAGACATGGGAACTCTCCGATTTACCCCCTGGCAAAATTCCCATAGGGTGTAAATGGGTGTATAAAGTAAAGTTAATAGCCGATGGCACCATCGAAAGGCACAAAGCACGACTTGTAGCAAAGGGGTACACACAACAACTCGGTATTGATTACCTTGAAACCTTTTCCCCGGTTGCCCGATTAACCACCATTCGAACTTTCATATGCACAGCGGTTTCCAGAGCGTGGCATGTCCACCAATTAGACATTAACAACGCCTTTTTACATGGCGATCTTAATGAAGAAGTCTACATGGTGTTACCACCAGGATTTGAGAGTACAAAACCGAATCAAGTATGCAGGCTTCGTAGGTCTTTGTACGGTTTGAAGCAGGCAAGTCGCCAATGGAATGCAAAATTAAGTTCAGCTCTTATCCACATTGGATTCAAACAGTCCCAGGCGGATCCCTCTTTGTTCACCAAAGAAGTGAACATCAGTTTTGTTTCAATTCTCGTGTATGTTGATGACATCCTCGTAGCCAGTGCTGACTTGTAGCTCATCACTGATCTCAAACATTTCCTAGACACCAAGTTCAAAATCAAAGACCTGGGACCACTGGGCTATTTCCTAGGGATTGAAGCACACTTGGGAAAAGATGGGATGAGTCTATGCCAAAGGAAATATGCTCTTGAAATACTAAAGGAGACCGGCTTCCTTGAAAGCAAACCGGCAGCCACCCCTATGGTTCCAGGATTGAAGCTTGTTCATTCTGAAGGAAATCCTCTTCCTGATGCTGGCTCCTATAGACGACTGGTCGGCAGGCTATTGTACCTCACAGCCACAAGACCTGATATAACATTTGCCCTTCAACAGCTAAGCCAGTTTGTAGACACTCCTACATACATTCTTCTAACAGCAGCACATCGAGTTTTAAGGTACATCAAAGCCTCACCCAGGCAAGGGATTTTTTATCCTTCACATGCGAGTCTACATCTAAAAGGCTTCTCCGATTCTGATTGGGCGGCTTGCAATGAAACACGAAAATCTGTAACAGGTTACTGCATATTCCTTGGTTCCTCACTTATATCATGGCGGTCGAAGAAGCAGGCTACCATTTCTCGTTCCAGCTCCGAAGCCAAATATCGTGCTCTTGCAGCAACCGTTTGTGAGATCCAATGGCTCAAATATCTTCTCCAAGATCTTAAGGTTACAGAGGCTAAGACAGCAACTTTATACTGTGACAGCAGATCAGCCGTAGCCATTGCCGAGAACTCCGTCTTCCACGAACGCACCAAACACATAGAGATTGACTGCCATGTAGTTCGCGAGAAGATAAATCAAGGCTTAATCAAGTTGTTATCTGTGTCAACTAAGAATCAAACGGCTGATGGTTTCACAAAGCCTCTTCCTACTGCTCTGTTTCGCGACTTCATCTGTAAGCTTGGTGTACAAGACTTGTACTCCCCAGCTTATGGGGGGGTATTGGAGAACACTAATACGCCCTCAGTAGAATTAAAGAAGTAAGGGTAGTATTGTAATTGGCTATGTCCAAATCTGTTATAACGGTATTTGGCGCCTCTCCTCTTGTATATATGGCCTTCTTCTTCTCCGTAACAGATTGAATAACAAATTGTTTTCTTTCCATATACATGTAATCTTCCTTTCGTTCTGAACTTCTCCGCCGAGCTCATCAGGCGTCGTTCCCCCACCCGTTGCTGAGCAGACACATCTTTCCATCCTCAGAAGATACTAAACCTTGTACATCCAAACGTTGGGCAGTGTCGGCTTGGAGTTTTCCATGGCTTTCTTCACGGTAACCCACGGAGTATAAATTTAACGCGCGGGGTGTTTTGGAAGGGAGAGAGACGAGGATTCTGAACGCGAAGCGTGGCTCCGGTATGAAGGAATAGAAGAATTTGGAGGTGCATCTGAATCGCACTGCGGATTTGGCAGGAACACTGGTGAGAATTTTGAGAAGAATCTCTCATGGAAGAGAGGTTATGGAGGTAGAAGAAGAAGTTGAAGGGTTCATCTGTCTTTGAAGTTTGATCTTCTGCATATATTCAATCAAGAATGGTGGTTTAAGCTTTTTGGGTCGACGATTTTGATGTTTATATAGACGTGATACAGAAGTTGATATCAAGTAAAGCACACAAAGTCACTGTCCCAATCCTATTATAAATCTATTTCTTAGATTTCTTGTTCACAAAAGCCACAATCTTCTAATTAACTCAGAAATTTAATGTAACTCTCATACTGAGGACTATAGAAGTAAGAGACAAAATTAAGAGATACTCAGGTAAACTCTGCAAGCAATTGATTAAGAGCTATGGCTGAAAGTTAATTTTATTCATTACAATACATATTGTCAGGTATTAATGATTCCACTTGACATAATTAATCTAACATGGTGAGGATTGATCATTTATCTTGCTTACCATTTATTACACTAAAACTAACAGAGTGTTTGGTTGGAGGGAATTTAAATTTCATTCCCACTTAATTCCACCTAATTCCAAATGCCATAAAATTTCTTAGTTTGGTTGGAAGGAATTGCAATTCCCTCATTTTCATGGAATTAAAATCCTATGTCCCCTAGGATTTTAATTCCAGGGTTTTAGGAAGAAAAAGAAGTTAGTGATGAGACAAAATTACCTCTCCCTTTTTTTTAACCTAAAAATAATACCACAACAACAATGGACATTTTGGACTTTATACTACTTATTCACTTTCAATTATCATGTATACCAAACATTGGAATTGAAATTCTCAGTAATTCTATTCTTGTAAACCAAACACTGAAATTTAAATTTTCACTTTATTCCCAGTAATTCATCTCCCATGGAATTGCAATTCTTTTCCCACGTAATTTCCTCCCTCCAACCAAACGCCCAGTAAATTGTCAGACTATTTCTTAAGTTTTTTATTACACTTAAAACAATATTAATTATTTGCTAATAAGTTGTGCAATATATTATTAAATACAAATTAAATCAATGCAATAATAATAATTAATAAGTCAAAAACCGCAATCTCAAGGAATTGAAATTAATCTCCCAAATAAATACACTACTGGAAATTATGGAATTTCTGACCACTTGAAAGTGATATTAAATCAAGTCCAAATCTTTGTTCCGACCACTTTTGGTATCCGGAAAAATCTTTGTTGCTATTTCTGACCACTTTTTTATATCAACTTAATTTAAGATCACTTTTAGGTGGTCGGAAATTCCATAATTTCCAATAGTGATATAAGAAAAAAAAATTAGAGAAGAAGGTTGAGTTAGGAATGTCAATCAGTCCAGCTTTATCAATTTTAATTGAAATTAATCTCCCAAATAAATATAAGAAAAAAAATTACAGAAGAAAGTTGAGTTAGGAATGTCAATCCAGCTTTATCAATTTTGGACCAATGATTTCTAATTTGTTAGATTTATTAGATTAAAAGTTTTTGCATCTAATAAAGTAATAATAAACGGTCAGGTTGGAACAATCTCGAGCAAATCATGTCATATTATTTAGTTTATCAAATTAAAATATTTTGACAAGGCAGAAGTGTCAAATAGGCCCATCTACTATTACCAAGTGCTCAATTCCTACCATGAACTAAAATATAGTCTAATCAGCCACACTTACTTCCTAAAATTATTCGATTAGCTTTTTTTGCAAGTTACCTCTAGGTTACCAATCAAATTGCTGACATATAATTTTATTAGAATTAAAGTGTATGGTGAGGTGAAAATTACTTCTTAAATCTTTGTTGACAGCGAGAACTCAAGTGGATACACCGGCGTTCCGTCGGGGTTGAAGAGGCCGTAGTTGCACTCCGAGGTGGGCTCGGGCTTCATGTTCTCATTGAACAACGCAAAGACGAATATGTTCAAATTGTTGGTGGGCTTCAATGGAGTTCCTTTCGTCTGGGCAATGAGCTGGAGGAGGATGCAGTTGTACTTCCTAGCGTTCTCCAACGTCGCTCCCGGCTAGTCGGCGTCCCCCTTCGACGCCCAACCCGTCTCCGAGATCTGCACGCACACGTTCTTATACCCCAGCGAAGACAACACCCAATGACCGGCTTCGACTTGAGCGAACAGCATGTTGTTGTAGTGAAGGCCGGAGACGAGGTCAGTTATCCCAGAATTCTGCTGGAACAGCATGAAATCAAGCTCCACATGGTTGGGATGCGCCTTGTAGGTGAAATACGGATACGCATTGATCAGAAAAGGGGCTCCGGTTTTGACGTGGAACTTGAGGATCTCGCAAACGCAGCCCACCAGATCTCGCTTGAAAGCCCCGGAGGACGGCGGATACGACGACTCCAGCACCGCCAGCGAGTGCGCCGTCGTCACATCGATCCCCCCCTCCAGGTTTAGCTTCACCAGAGCGGCGTGAACGCTATACATAGTCGGGAGGAGGTTGTTGGTGAGGGAGGCGTCCTTGGAGCTCAGGACCTCGTTCCTGACAACGATGCAGATGATTTTGGTCGCCGGTAAATACGTCGCCACGTTCTGCCACACCTACGCCCCCGCTTTCTCAGGATCCTTCACTTTACACAGCTCGTTGTTGCTAACATTGCAATGAACTCCACATTCGTGTTCGCGAAGGCTTTCAGCACCTTTGGATCCGCGTCGTAAAGTTTCAACCTCGTTACGCCCATGGACTTCACCAGCAGAACCACATTTTCCACCTCACCATACACTTTAATTATAATAAAATTACATGTCAGCAATTCAATTGGCAACTTGGGGGTAACCTGCAAAAAAAGCTAATCGAACAATTTTAGGAAGTAAGTGTGGCTGATTAGACTATATATTAGTTTATGGTGGAAATTCAGCTCTTGGTAGTAGTAGATGGGCCTATTTGACACTTCTGCCTTTTGACTATCACCCTAATCAAATTTATCCAAAGTCTTAAATTCCTTTCAAATTTTGAATTTTGTTTTCAATAATTCAAGTAAACATGTGTGCCCTTAAGAAAAACTAGGGATTTAAAAACATGTTGACAATGATACATTTGTTTCAAGTTATCTCACATGTTAATTCTAAAATTTCATGATGGAAAAAGGATACATAAGGCGCTAAACATATTATTTTCTCCTTTCTTGATAAAGTATGAGCAGCCGGAGGCAAATATGTTTTCTTATCCCCACAAAGTGGAGCTAATGTAAGTCGTATACACATTTCAACCAAATCAAATCTAGCATTGAGTCCATCTTTAGTCTTACCTTTTATGTCTAAAAGAGTTCCAACAAGACTATCACATACATTTTTCTCCACATGCATCACATCAATACTATGTGTCACATCTATTGTCTTCCAATATGGACACATGCATCACATGCATCACATCAATACTATGTGTCACATCTATTGTCTTCCAATATGGAAGATCAAAGAATATAGATTTCTTTTTCCACGGACTCTTCTCATTTGTAGGTATCTCAACATTATATTTTGACCTCTTACCTCTTTGAGATTGAAGCTTTTGAGTCTTACCAAAAGTAACACTGATGCATTCAACTCGTTCATAAACTTGATTCCCAGTCAATGGTTGTGGAGCATCTGTATAGTCTTGTACCCCATTGAATGCCTTTTTTAATTTTCGATAAGGGTGAAATTTATCAAGAAATCTCCGATGCCCCATGTATACAGTCTACCATGAACAAGTTGATGATAACAAGTATTATCTTCACATATGGTTGATGATAACAGGTATTATCTTCACATATGGGGCATGCCTTATGACCTTTGACACTATATCCAAACAGGTTTCCATAAGCTGGAAAGTCATTGATTGTGTAAAAAAGCATTGCATGCAACTTAAAAGTCTCCTTCCGGTATGCGTCAAACACTAACACACCTTCATCCCATAATTGCTTCAAGTCATTAATCAAAGGCGCCAAAAAAACATCTATATCATTACCTGGTTGTTTTGGCCCAGGAATCATCAAGCATACTAATATGTATTTGCGTTCATACACAACCAAGGGGGTAGATTGTAAATTATCAACATAACTGGCCACGAGCTATGCTTGCTACTTAGGTTCCCGTGGGGGTTAATTAATACCATCAGTACAAAGTCCAAGTCTAAGATTTCTCAACTCATGGCCGAATTCAGGAAATGCATTATTAAATGTTATCCATTGAGAAGAATCAGCCGGGTGTCGAAGCTTGCCATCAGAAATTCTTTCATCTGCATGCCATGTTAAGTTCTTCGCATCGCTTGGATTTGCAAACATGCGCTTAAATCTTGGAAGAATTGGGAGATACCACAAAACTTTAGCTGGTGGACTTTTCAAACGTACTTTTCCAGCAACATTCTCTCTTGTTTTATAACGAGATGCCCAACATATTGGACATGCATGCAAGTATTTGTAATCATTCCTAAACAATATGCAATCGTTAGGGCAAGCATATGTCTTTGTATATCCCATACCCATGGGACACGGAATCTTTTTGGCATCATACGTACTATTGGGAAGTTCATTATCATCTGGAAGCATATCCTTTACTAATTTAAGTAACGCA